ATGAGATAGCAAGTTCATACCTAGAATAAAACAATAAAACTGGAAAAGTAAGACTTGAGAATTTGCAGCTTATACAAAGTTAGTAGAAGTAGGGAAGACCTGAATGCAAATTTAGCACTCTTTCATCAGAATGTTATCTGCTGGCTATGGCAAAACATGTGAGTAAATGGAAATTTAAGTTTCACAGTAAGTGGCTTCTTTTTTTACAATGAATAATTGATTTATGTTTCCAACAACAACATAGAAAAAGGAAATTTTGCATTTTCGTGTCACTGTATATCTTTAGTCATCACTGAGATCTCTATACAGCTTCCTGTGTACTTTGCCAACTTTCAGATTACTTTCAAAAAATGTTTTAGTGAAACATTTTACAATTACATGATATTATGTTGCTAGCTATCAGCAAATGTAACAAATATTTAAGACTTGTTAATGTATTTCTGCTTCACCTTACTATCTTAGAAAAAATGATCAGTTTTATGAAAGTTTGCTTTAGTTTCAGTAGGTTATAATTATTGATTGCAGGTAGCATCAGGTGGCAAAAGTAAAGTATATGTCCAAGTGGGCAACAGCTTACATGATCTATTATATTTTTCTTGGGATGGCATACTCTCAAAACAAAGGAAAAAGTAGTAAATTAGAAGTAGTAAATAAAAGCTGAGACTCCAAGCTGTTTGGAGTGGAATCTGTGCAATGTGATTGTTTACTTTTTTGCTTGAATGCCCTTTGTAAAGGAGTGACTTTTTAAATTATTTTCTCAGTAACAAAATCCCAATTTGCATGTGGTAATTTTTTAGGATAGGTGCACTTAGCACTTGCAATCTGTTTTTTATCTGATTTGTCTCAAAAGTCCTTAAGAGTAATATCTGCTTAAGGGGAAGCTAAATTTATGCCCCACAGCCACTGTCTTCTTGCAGGCAGATTGGAGACCAGGCAAGTACGACAGGATATTTGTACAATCAGCCTGTACAATGTGTCATAATAAAAGAATTTAAAGCTTCAGCAAATTGACATTTGTTTGAGCGTATCCAGGGCAGCAAAGCTGATGAAGGATCTGGAATATAAGTCCTATGAGAAGCAGCCAGTGGAGCTTGGGTTGTTTAGTCTGGGGAAAAGAAGGCTCGGGGGAGACATTATTGCTCATTACCTGCAGGAAGGTAGTGGCCAGAGGTTGGTTTCTTCTCCCAGTCAACTAGCAATAGCATAAGGCCTCAAGGTGCACCAGGGGAGGTTCAGTTTGGGTATTAGGAAAGAGTGGTTAAGCACTGAAACAGTCATCATCCCTGGAAGTATTCAAAAAATAAATAGATGTGGCACTTCTTGATATGGTTTAATGGTCATGGAGATACTTGCACAAAGGTTGGACTTGATCTTTCCCAACCTTAATGATTCTTTGATTTTATGAAAGTGCAACCCCCCTGACATTGCACAAACTAGGTAAAGAGTCACTTTGTGACACAAGGATCAGCTTGGACCTATAGTGTAGGGTGTAAAAATGAGAGAGCCAGGTGGTGCACGGTATCAGAATCACTGTGAGCACACATTGAAATACACAAAAGTCCAGCTAAATATCAGGAAATTATTTCTCACTGAGAAATCATGTGAGAAACTAGCACAGGTTGCCCAGAGAGGATGAGAAGGATGAAGATTTCTGGAAGAATTTGAAAGCCGTTTGGACATGGTCCTGGACGACCAGCTCTGGGAGAGGTGGGGGTGCAGACTAGACAGCTTCCAGAGGTCCCTTCCAGCCTCAGCCATTCTGTGGTTGGTGATTAGAAGTTTTTCTTCCTGTCAGTCTGGAAGGTCCCTAAGGTAGGGCAGCACAAGGAAGTGGGAGGTGCTGCAGTTCAGCTGCAGCCTTGTGTCTGGCTCTGAGAGCTGCCCTCAGGTGTTCATGTGTCTTGGTTTACAAGGCCAAACGAGTTACAGTGGTTATGTGAGAATCAGCGTGGCTGCAGAGCCATATCAGATTTCTTCAACTCTGGCATTGTTAATTTTTAACCCAGACAAATCACTCAGTGATAGGTTGGTATTTCTGGATTTTATGTGTAGTCTACATAAAATTTTATTTAGTTAAATGAAATTTAAGAATTTAGTAGTTTATAAAGCCTGACTTATATTTTGTTCCTTGTATAGTTCCTTCTGTTAAAATGTTGTTATTGTTTCTTTGCTGTTTTGATTTTTACCACTCTAAGCAGCATCCCAACATCACTGCATAGTTAAAGAATTGATTTTTGGAATTGCATGAATGAAATTATTTTTGCTAATTAAACTCTTCAGCATTTTAATGATTCTGATTGTCATCTCTGTATACAGGCTGTTTTCTTAAATGTTGACTATCCGTGTACAATTGTACTAAATTAAGGTGACCTCACAACACATAGAAAAGGAATGGTCATGAGTTACTTTATATTATGCAAGACCATATTACTGTGATGTGATTTTCATTATAATATCTTGTACAGAAAAATAAACATTTGCTTGAGAATTAAAGTACTTTGCTGGTTGTCAGCTTCTATCCAATAGTTAGTTTCTTCTAGTTAAAAATAATAAAATTAGAAGCTTATGCTGTTGAATGTCAGTTTATTCCATAGCAGACAATCTATTAAATCTGTTACACTATATCAGTTTATGATGCACTTGCTTTTTGGCAGTAGCATGGTTTTAAGAAATTAGTTTTTGATATTAATTCTCATAGCTTAGTACTTTCTAAGCATAGTTTTAAGGAATAAGTAAATAATAAAAGAATTGCTACTCTCTGTCTTACTTCTGCTTTAGAACAAAGCTTAAACAAAACAATCTCTCGAACTTGTTTCAGAGCTTTCAGCAAGAAGCAATGAAAAACACATGCCAATAATGACATATACTTAATTGTTAAAAAAATTTTTACATTCTTGTGCTGTGTTAGATTTCACTCATAGAGGTTCTTCCATCATTCTCTAATTGCATGAACATTTGTGCCAAGATAAAAAAATAAGTAACAGAGGGTTGGGAATGGGTAGACATGGTGAAAAATCTGCTTCTGGTGCCAGTGCAGGTCTATGTCATCATAGGTGAATTATGACTCTCTTACCCAAATCTCAAAGAATTTTAATCATTGGGCAATCCCACATAGAAAGTAGATCTTTTGTTGAGATAGATCTGTATCCTTCTGTTAGCTAAACTAAGAACTGATTGTTAGCAGCATTTTCAAAGCCTGTTATTTGCTTCAGTTATCATGTGACCTTAAAGAGCTAACCTCCAAGTTAGGACATTCATAAGGTTCATGCCCTGCAAACTGAGTGCTTTAGGCGGCTGAAGTGCCAGAAGGGTCACAACTTCTTCTGGGGACCTGAGGCAACTGTTTTATATCCTGTTTAGGTGAATGGATATGCAGAGTCTGTATCCAGAGGGAATATCAACTAGTCAAAGAAATTAACAGCAGAAAATCTAAAAGTTTGTAGACCTAACTAGTTGTGATTCCAGCAGAGCAGTCAGGCAATTTTCTTATGACTGAAAGCTCTAAGTAGAGACCTGTTAGAGGGCAAGGAGAAGTTTAGATAGATAGCTGCAATCACCAAGGTTTTTACTTTATGCTGTGCCAAATATTGATCCCTTTTCCTTTTGATTTTATGTATCAATTCAGCTGCTTGATTATAACTTCGCCTGTGTTTGGAAAAAATCCATGTCTACATGACATGGAAGCTTTACATTAAAAGCTTCCATGTCATGTAGAACTCAGGGTGATGATCAAGTTACCTTTTCTTTCCTCTTTCCTTCATGTGCTGTGAAGAGAAAAAGGAAAAAAAAATGAAGAGCAGCTAAGTACTGGAATATTTTATTTATCTGGTGCTTTGGTCCATACTTTGATACTTTAATGCTGTTTTGTTAGTTCTTCTGTTGAATGGGTCATGCAGACTCCTTAGTCTTAGAGACCATTGACAATAAAATTTAAATTCTTTGGCCTATTTTCAAACCTGGTTTAACTTGGGATTTAGTTGAGGAGGCAGAAGCCAAGCCAGAAAATTGGAAACACGGTTTTGGATAAATTTTGATTTGAAAGCAGATGGAAGTGGGACTTAGGTCATCTAACAAGAAACTCCAGTCGCTTGTTTAGGAGGGCTGTAGCTTCTGGGCCAGTATCTTACAAAAGACTCTCTTAAGGTCTCTTAAAGCCTTAGACCAGTTTTGAAGGGGTTTCTGTTTCTTCCTCTGGCCAAATGAAGTCATGGTACAGATTAAGGGGAACCATAGCATTAGTGGTCCTAGAGGTGTGTTTGGAAAATCTATGCCGTAACTAAACCTGCATGATCAATGCCTGGCCTCCTAATTTTTTCACTGCTGATTTAAATTTCTCTGGCTTTCTGTTTCATGCTTTCTGCCTTTGGATTTTGTTATATTCTTGCTAAATGGCAGAGCTATCCTGTATCTCATTCACAGTATTCTGTACTTAAACTCTGTAATTATTCTTCATATGATAAAATTAAGAGAAACAATTCTTTGTATCTTGCTGTTTGGTACCTTCTGAGGTCTTAATTTGTATTTGTGATTGCTATTTTATCCAGTTTGACTGTGTATAGTGATTGTATGTTTGTCCATTTAAATTACTGTACTTGATGCATGTTGTTTTAGAATTCAGGTGAGGGTGTGTGTATGCATGCATGTGCGTATCATAATATCCTATCAGTTCTACGTTTGTTTGCAAAATTAAGCAAAACTATAGTTTCCTTTTGTTATTTCAGTCTGTCCTATCTTTTCCCCCATTTTCCCTTCTCAGCATGGAAGACCTCTGCTTTATCCTCTTCTCTCAGAAACACCATGGAAAATCTGATCATGTGGTCTTAGAAAAAAATGCTAATTATTGTGTTCAGATTTTCTTTTCCATTACCACTGCAAAAGGTCATTTATTAGAGAGCCTACACCTGCATTCTGGGCCCAGTGGTGTTGTATGAAATATTCTATGCTGAAGATGGCATATTGTTTTCTGACTCTAAGGGAATGTACTTTTTTTATTTCTACAGAGTACCAAGCTGCCATTCTGCATTTAAAGAGGGAACACAAAGAAGAAATTGAAACATTAAAGGTATAGTTTTGTAATTATTTATTTCCCTGTCTAGTGCATTTTACAGATTTAAGTGATGCAAACATGCACTTCCTAGTAAATGTTAAGAATTTAATTCTTTCTTTCTAGAAGTTGTTTTCAGTTGACTGCCAGCTCAGCTAAAATTAATTTGGTTAAAGTCTATACCTGTACTCATAAATGATCTCTGAAAGCAGTTTTATTTGTTTCCTCTTTGTAGTTCTCCTTATTGTTGTTCTGTTAAATTCTTCCCACAAACACAGCAGTGCAGTACTTTTGTGTTTTGGCGCTGATGTTTAACTACTTACTCTTTCTCAGTGAAACATACTTCTGTAGAAGCAGTTTTCTGTAATTTTAACAGGAAGTTAAGCATGTGTGAGACTTTCTGAATTCTAGTACTGAGCACTCTGTATTGATGTCTCCTCTTTTAAACTGTAAACTTGACCAACTAGTTATCAAAATCAGAAATAACACAGTTTAGTATTAGAACTCGCTTTCCCTTGGCTGTGGTAAGTAAAGTGAAATATTACAAGAAAGTAATCTTCTTTCTATCATATAAGCAGGAACTTAAATGGCAGTATAACTGAATTTGTTGGTCACCCCTAGTTAAAATTAACAGCATCTTCCTTTTCTCACCAGTTATGATATATTCTTAAGTATACCTGCACTGTGTTCTAATAAATGTTCATATGCTAAGTCGTTAGTGTACAGGTCATCAATTACATTCAGTTTTTCCTTTGTCATCATTAAAGCAAATAGAATGGAAAATAAACAGTTTTACTAACATGGGAATTCTGATAAACCAGTACACTGATACATTATCTGTGTCATTAGGCAGATCACATTGTATAATGCAATGTATTGAAATTTACGTTATAAAATTTCAGTGGGAACATATAATGAGGGAGTAAAATGGTGTCATGTTTTAATGGTAAATGTTTAAATGGTAAATTCTTTAATGGTATAACAGAAAAATATGATGGTAGATATCCCAACTATGGGAAATTCTTGGGTTAAATCTGATTTTGTGCTATGCACTGAAGAAACCTACAGACAGGAATTTCTTTTAAGCAGCTCTTTTGCAAATGGATCCAGATCCCTTATGTGGTGTTTATGAAGAAGGTTTGATTATCATACTTTCTCTGCAACAGGTTAGGAGTGAGACCCTTAGTCTTTGTTATTCCTAAAAGGTCTAGAAAAATGTTAAGACGTTATGGGAGGTATATGTATGGGAAAGTTCTCTAAATATTATTGAATTGTCCTCTGAGCGTGAAAGTAAGCAACATTATCTAGATTCTGTCCCTTGAAACCTGTATATAGTGGCTTATTAGTGGGTGATACGTTTATTCTTTAGCATTAGAAAGTGCCCTGTACTTTTGTTCTGGTTTTTTTTGTAGGGTTTTTTTTTTTTCTTTTCCCTTGAGTATGTGAACAGGAATTCCAGTCTTTAATTCTTCAATATTTGTTATCACTGTGTTAATTTCCTATAAACTTTATACAGAATACCCAGAGTGCAGCCAGGGCATTACCCATACCACTAGTTTCTGGGGATTGGTGCTGAATCTATGAGACTGAAGTTGCAGTGAATGTAGCAGTCTTGAAAGGTGCACAACAATCACTGGGTAGGGAGAGTATATGACTATACTGTATTTTATTTTGTCATATTTATATTATCACCAAAACTTGAAGCTTTGTTCCTTTTTTTGATGTCACTTGAAATCAGTTTTTTTCATGCAGTATGTATACTTATTGAGATTACAACATGCATTACACCAAGTCAATTACTTATGAATCTGCACCTCTTATTGTGTAACAATCTGCATAACACATAACTCTTGAAGGGTTAATTAATGTATATAATTCAGCTGAATCATCCACATGAAAGTAATGTCTAAAAAGGGTAATGATGTTGCTGCATTCAAAGGATTTCTTCAATTTTTCGCTTAATACTGAATAATATGGTTTAAAGACATGGAACGATTTCTGTTCTGTATTGTTAAGTGCTTTGCTTTCCCTGCTCTTGCCACTAGATGTCAGCTGAGTCTTTCAGAAAAAGTTCCCAAAAAACGTGCACGTTTCATACTTCCTTCTAAACTGATTGTGGTGACATCCTGCCCACTGTTTGTTTGTCCGTTTTAGTTTTAGGTCAGAAATTGTCTTGCACATTATGAAACTAAAATTGAAGTTGCTCAATGGATAAGTCGTAGCTGTCAACAGCTTCATAGTGTTTGTCCAGCAGAACCAAATCTTGAGTATCTAATAACCAACTAAGTAAATTACAACAACATAAATCAAAATAATGTAAATGGACTCCTGACTTCTGAAAGGAAGGGATTTACTTGAAGGAAATATACTGTCTGCAGTGCTTAATATTTAACCCAACACATATCTGCATAAGGGTGCACCGTGCTTTTTTCCCCCGTAAGTTAAATTGATAAAATGAGTAACAATTCAAGTTTTTCCCTAATGTCTTTGTGTTCCCTTTAGAACAAACCTACCAAATTTCCCTTCATCTTTAGTTATGTGGGAGTTTAAGGCTGCTTGTTGAAGATGGAAGGAAAGTCCTTAGCTGTCCTGTAACCCTCTGCATGGGTGTTTTTCTCCAACACAGGTTGTTAGGCTTCCACCAGCTCACTAGATCTTTCATATATTTCCAAACTGGGAATATTAGTATATTCAGGTATTTCTGTTACAGAATAGTATTACATAATGCATGTCATATAATATAGTGTAAGAAATATTAATAGGTAAATTTTTGATAAAAAATTAACTATAGCTAGCTTATAAATTATTCAGTAAATATCATGTAACAAAATTCTGTTTTTACAGCTCTTAAAATATCTCGTGGCAAATTGTAGAAAGAAATACCTCTATAGTTGCATCTATCACAGTTATGAACATATTACTGAAACTTACGAAGCAGTGAATGGTAATGCAGTTGGTATAAAGCTGCCCGTGACATTACGAAAGAGCAAGCTGGCCTCATTTAGGGAAGAATGCATCATGAGGTGTTCATAGTGACCTTTGTGGCCTCCCTGGTAATGTTTGCATTTTTGCTTTTTTTGTCAAGGTTCCAAGAGCTGAAATTTAGAAGTGGGTAGAAAGTAATTTCCTTTTCACAGAAGAACTTCCTTAACTTTGAAAACTATTTCATATCTTAAATTGAGGTTAAAGACCAGTGCCTCAAAGTGCCCCAGAAAACATTGAAAAATGTGGAAGAAAAAGGAATGTGAAAAGAAAAGTCATAGCACTAGCCAAAATTATCTGATAATTTAAAGATAATTTATTTTTATTTTGTAGTGAGACCACAAAGGCATAAAATCATTAAGGTTTTATTAAGTAATACAACTCTAGCTCTATTATGACCATTTCATTCTTTTACAAATCTGTTTTTTCATGTCTAATGCTTCCTAAGTTCTTTCTTGTCTCTTTGTCTTTTCACCTTCCCATTTGTTTTCCCTTGTGGTCAATATGCTTCCATTTATGAATGCTTCCATTGCTCTTTAATTATGGCATGAGTGTAACAAAAAGTGCTGCTTCTCTCTGCAACATTTTGGAATTTTTAATTCAGCTATGGGAGGCAATGGTGAATAGTGTTGAAAGCTCTTGTATGCCAGAATGCTTATCAAAATTCCTCTTTATAGAAATGGGTGATCTCAATTTTATTTTGGCAATTTAAAATGTCTTTTACTTAGATGTAAAAGTAAAATTTCATTTCAGCTTCAGAGCATATATCACAAATTGGATGTTTTAACATGAAATCAAAACATTTTATACTATTTCAATTTGCCTAAATCTGCTTTTTCTATAGGTAGACTTTTACAACAAATTGGAATACTTCTGAGCAGATTAAACTGAAATAAATCTGACCTGGGTGCTCTTAAGGATTTTTATTATTCCTTTCTTGAGAAAAAGAATTTATTTCCCGTCAGTTTTGTTTGTGCATATGTGAATTCTTGCATGGGATAAAAGTATCATGGTTTGCCAAAAGTCACTATGTTTTGAAATCTGATGTTAGGATATGGGTCCAATGATGAATAGTGTTGAAAGCTTTAATATGCCACAGTACTTATAACATCCAAAACATTTTAATATATGTGGATATATGCTGACTTTTAGTAATAATGTCTTGCTTCAGGATGAGATTCTTGTTTTAACTTTTACAAGATGAAATGCATCCATAAGGTGGCTGGTTACTTTGAGTGTTCTCTGTTTTATTTTTGTACCCAGCATGAACATACAGAAGAAAATCTGTATCATGTATGCATCTCTCTCTTGTGGAGCTGCAGCTCAAAGGAGCAGCCAAGGTCACAAAGGGTTTACTAGTCAGTCTTTCCTAATGAGCTGTTCAGGCTTTTCAGCATTTCCATGTGGTGAACTGATGAAGGTCTCTCAGCTTGTGGTTAATTATTGATACTAATCTTGCCTAACTTGAAATGCTTCAGTCTTTCAGCTGCTAAATGTATGGTTGCACCACTGTGTGTGTACTGTGTGCCTTTATGAATCTTCTTCTTGGTTACTTCATCCTCTTGGAGGAATTCTCCCTGTTCACTGCAGAGCCACTTTGTAATTCAAGAAAGGAAAAAAAATGTAAAGACTGAAAAAAGCACAAAAGTTATGAGAAAAAAGAGACTAAACTCTTATGAAATTGTATTAAAATACTGATTTCAGAACTCCTAAGGCTGCCAGACAATGGCAGCAACATTATCTTTAAAGTTTGCATTTCCTAAAATAGTAAAATCACAGCAGGAAAAAAAATCTTCCTATACTGAAAAATGTGCATAGCCATTGCTAGAGAAGGTAAAGTGGCGGAGAAGGGAACAAAGGACAGGAGCAATAAAACAGTAACTTTCTACAGCAAGCAGCACTTAATCTCTTTGGAACCACTTGACAATTTCATCTTGATTCTGAAATGAAGCTTGGAATGATTCTTCATGTTGTGTGCAGATATTCCCAAGTTAGTTATTATTTTAAAAATTTGCACATTACAATTTCTATATTCA